GTGACATGTGTGAATGGGGAAACCCGAGGGCGTGTTGGGAGGGGGGTGCGGGGAGAAATTGTTAAAAGATTACTATTTCCATAAGGTACAGGGTTATGTTGGTATTATAGGGCGTGAAACATCCTACATATCCCCCCCCCAAAAAAAAAAGAAAAAAAAGGGGAAAAAAAGGAAAAAAGAAAAGAAAAAGCAACCCCCCCAAAAAAACCCACAAAACAAACAAACCCAACTTTCAATTCTGTGGAGCACCTTCAACGTAATTCCCCTGTCTCTGATGATTCCGTATTGGTAAGTTTCGATTGTTCATGTATAGAGGTTAATCTGTAAGAAAGCAATAATAATAATAATACTAATAATAGATAGATCGTCTGAAGAAGTCATAATCTTTTCCTCTCATTTGCTCTTGCCATCTATTGTTAGATCGTTTTCTTTCCTAACAGAAAGAACGTTTTTGTCGATGTGATAGCCTGCCAGACAACCCAAACGGAAACGTTGGCTTACGTGGGTGGTTGGCGGTGCTCTGGTGTGGTTTGATCCTTTTTTCCTATCAAACGTCTTTCAGCCTTATCTCACCTTCATTTTTGTGTCTTGTAACACCCCTTATTTTCGGCACTTATAGACCTTATTGTGTTGCATGTGTCGTTAAAGTCTTATTTTAACCCTATCCGTATGTCGTGTTTTACTGTCGTATCCTTACGACGTGGGGAACTCTGTGCCACCACTTTCCAAAGAGGATATTTGCTCTTTAATCCAATCCATACGCTTTGCATAGCAGTCTGTCAAAATGATTTTTTTAGAAATACTGAAAGTTTCAAAGAGATCTTCGTACTAGAGGTATTCTTAAATGTGAAGAATACAAACCGGGGGTACAAAATGACCACAAGGCGTACAGATAGCGTTAAATTAAAACCTGAGCATACCCTCCCCCCCCCACAAAAAAGGAAGTGAAAGAAAGATGTTGGAGTGACGTACTTGCTTCAAATCCTCGTATGCCATGACGTGGATAGGCAGGCCCGGGTTTTCCCGCACCACACGCTCCCAATCCGTGACGTAAGCAAACCAAGAACCATAATCCACTTCATGGTTGTGGCACAGGAAGAAAATATAAAAATTTTATGGTTGCAACACTAATGAAAGGAAAGAATAAATATTTGAGATTCTTAAATTGAATAAATCTAACAAATAGCTTTAATGTGGAATGAATGAGATCCTTTAAAAAATCAAACAAATTATAATAATATAGAGTGAATGAGATCGTTATATAAATCCAAAAAGTATACAGTGAGTGCGTGAGGTTCTTATATTATATAAATCCAACAAATATATAATGAGTGAGATCCCTAAATAAATCCAAGAAATATAGACTGACTAAGATCCTTATATAAACCCAACAAATATATAGTGAATGAAATCCTCAATAAATCCAAGAGATATAGAGTGAATGAGATTTTAAAATGAATCAAACAAAAGAGTGAATGAGATTCTTAAATAAATCCAACATATGTATCATAGAGTGAATGAGGTCCTAAAATAAATTCAACAAAAATATAGAGTGAATAAGATCCTATAAATCAAACAAATATAGAGTGAATCAGACGCTTAAATAAATCAAAACAAATATAGGGTGAATGGGATCCTTATACAAATCCAACAAGTATAGAGTGAATGATATCTTTAAATAAATCCAACAAATAAAGAGTGAATAAGATTCTTAAATAAATCCAACAAATAGACAGTGAATGGGTTCCTTAGAAAATAGAGAGCCAACAAATATAAAATGAATAACACCTTTAGATAATAGAGACCCAACAAATATGTCTCACGTTTTCCGTCCATAAAAAGGGGAAGAAAATTCTCCCAAGATCCTTCGTACTGGTAGAAATCCGTCAACTTCCGGTGGTGATGGTAGCAGGATACGGCTAGGTCCTTCGGGTTCCGGTTGATGTAGATTATCTGGCAACTGGAAGATGAAGACAGGCGTGGCCGATTTGTCGTTGCTCAAAAACTTTGGTATGACTGTCAAATTTAACTAGTTTTCCTATGACCATAAAAAACGAATCCTGATCTGGGCGTGTGGAAAGGCTAGAATGTCAACTGTCAAAACCATGTCTGGGTTTCAGCATTCGCAGATTTTAAAAAGCGTGCAAGACACAAAGTACCAAAGGAAAGACATAATAGCTGGGCTCAAGGGAAAAACAAAAGTCTCGGGAAGAAATGGAAATTTTGATCTTTTCGAGGGTTGAAAATGCCATCGAACCATTGACAGTAGACTACGCAAATTCGGGAACACCCATCTAGAGGACACACCAAGTCTTTACTCCTAATATTTTTCCTCCATTTGTGCGTTCGATTGCTTAATGTTACAAACTCAGAGCACAACTTCTGCTTATCTTTTATTTGAGCACCAGTTTCTTGCACCCCAGCCTTATGCTGCTGCGGTAGAATCCTCATACTGATAAATTCTCTAGATCTAGAGAGATTTGAAAAAAGTTTCTTTCTGATACTGATTCTCTTTCTACTTTCGCCATTCATTTTTTAAAAATCAAAGCACAAATTTTCCAGCCATAGCGAAATCCCGAAAATAGACAGAGAGAATGAGTGAATGAAGGAAGGAGGGAGGTATATTAGGCTTTCGTAACTAGCCAGGTTTTAGCGCGATTTACAAGCGAAAATGCTTTGTCATAGATTCACAGAGGGACAGTGGCCGAGTGTACAAAAAGAC